GTCAAAACTCTCTGACAAAGCTCTAGCTATCATAACAAAGGACACTTAAGAAACTCACAACAAGCATGACACTAAAGAATTTGACAGCCAGCGTCAAATATAGATCATACAGAAGTATTAAAATATATTCGCTGATACCTTCTCAACAAGATATAGTCATCAAGGTAAACAAATTATAATACATATGGAATTCATACAAGTAATACTGTGTGGAGAAAAAATGAGAATCAAACCCAGAGATTCTTAAAATGACAACTTAGCTGATTCATATTAAAAAAATTCATCTGTCATGAAAGTCATAAAGTACAGGCACACAGCTATAGTGTACTAGTGCTTCAACTAACTAACAAACAAAGCTTAATGAGTGAAAGAGCTATAATACATATATAAAGATATAAACACCTACCAAGATATTTACAATAAAATAGAATCAAATAACAACCATTAAAAAATTTATTAAAAAAAAATTCAATGCCATCTCATTGTTTCCTAAGCCAATCACATCTGCTAGAGGTTCAAGTATCACAGTTCTCTGCAGTAGTCAGGCGTTGTCACACACACACATAAAAACAAACCTAACCACACAAGTAATAATAATCACAATAACCTATAATCACTCATCCTTAAACACAACCAATTCAAAAACATGCCGGCTTCAGTGAACATCTCGGCTACATTACCAAAAATCATAATAAATTGTACATTTTGTGGATTGGGGTATTTGTGAACCAGCCCATACAGTATTGGCAGGACATTGAACAACCAAATTGGTGGGTTGTAGGAAGAAACAGAGGTATAATCAATAGAAAGTCTTGGAGCCTTTTTATGGTGGAGAGACACCATGATTAAAAAGATATAGTTAAAACTGCCTGAAGGAATAAATAATGCAATGAAGGATACTGTATGTTGCTCTTCATGCCAGCCACTGTATGGAGACAAGAAAAGGCCTTTAAGATAAGATTTAAAAGATAATAATAATTTTTCTTTATGGTGTAGCTGCTTCCATACTCCAGATATTTTGTACATAAAATATTTAAAGTACAGATAAAACAATTCTTTTTTTACACAACAAGTCTGAATCTTGAAGGTAAATTTCATATTGTGAGACAACAGTTCATTCCCCGATTTATAAATAATTGAATAAGCAGTAGCGGCCATTATGACAGAGAAATTATAGTAGGATAAGCCCAAAAATGTCATATAATAATTGCATCGCATGACAACTAATCCTCATATGCTGTCACAAGTACCCCATTGAAGGTAATCATTTGTATTGAAATTAAAATTCTCTCTCAACAACCAAGAGTATAATTAAAACTAAGGATATACAATAGCAAACTCCTAATTAATGCCAGTATGGTGTGAAATGCATACACTGTAGAGTATGACAAATGCCACAAACCAAATACAGTACAGAATCACAGCATCCAGTAACAGTCTTTCAGCTCTGTCTCATGAGTGGCAGTGTTTATCAACTTGGGATTTGTATCTATGAGCTCTTTATAAATTAGCTCAATAATAATTTGTGGTGATGTCCTTCTCACAATTCCTTACCAATGCACAATCCTACTACTGTACAGTATAATTCATTTGCTAACGACTGTACTGTATCTCTCATGGAACGTTCACCACCTACAAATTACCACTGGCAAGGGGAAAATTCAACCTCCTTGTTTGAGCATACCTGTGTGTGTGTTAATGTGGCACAGCACTAAAGAAAGGCAATATGCAGGCATCGGTTATTACATGAGGTGTTACCAGAGAGTCATAGGTTACAAAACAAGTCTGAAGTCTCAGTCTTTAAAGAATACAGCTTTTGTTATGTTCTCTAAGAATAACTTTGTTCTACATTACTTAGATCTGACTATGATCTATTAACCTACAATGGAATGATGCTTCCCAGCAATGGTGTTAGAAAAGACATTTGTGCAAGTGAGGTTTATAAATACAATAACTGGAGATGGTTGGCGCCAATTCCTATTTACTGGTGAACACTGAATACACGTCTTTGGTTCAGACGTGGCCAAAGCTTAGCTGGAAATACCCTGGACACTCAAATCTACCCAATCTATGTCCAGGCAAGGCTAAGAGAGCATTACTGTGCACAGAGGCAGTTTCTCTGACATAGCATCAAGGCCCTGAACAATCCAGCCCTTTTTTACTCAAGGGTTGCCATCACACAAGACCAGAAGAAATATACAGGATGTTTAGCATTGAATAAAGAATTGTTACCTTACCAACCATTAAGTCACACTGATCTATTCGTCTACTTTTGATAATTTCATCCGTCACAACCTTTGGGGTTGATTTAAGGAAGAATAAGTAATATGAACCATTACAGCATACTTAAGTTTTTCAAATGGAATGGATTATTTGTCTTTGTGGTTTGTTCAAGAATACACTACAATTATCCTACATCCAAGCATTCCATACGTTGTAAATTATATGCCTGGCGGGCATTACAGTCTACTACACTACATCTGGTACAAAATGTGTAGAATGGAGGTGATTTAGCACTGAGACTCATTTTACTATGAAAACAACATTGGCACTGATGACCGAGTAACTATGGTACGTACATTATTATAAACGTTAATTACTAGAAAAGGGAAGATTAGGCACCATAATCTGTGCTATGTGAGTAAAGCTCTATTCAGCTGGTGTCACTTACAAACTCCTATAATTTAACTACACCTAAATCTTCAAATACATTGAAGCATAGAGCAACGGCTGTCATTGCATTCTTTACCATCATGTTTACATTCCTTGACGTCTGATTTTCAAGCAATTTAATCATGCACGCTAAAACAGTCCGTCTCTATCGTTGTTTTCAAGCATTTACAAGTTAGAACATGGATGCTGGATTTAAGAAGATGCCTAATTAAAACAAAAGAGACACTGCTATCTTGGAGTAGTGTTTTGACAGCTTGTATCTCCTCTAAATCCTGTCACAAAATACGAACACCAGAAGATCATGATGCTAATTTGGTGTGAAGGCATTCAAGGTGGGACATGTATTCTATGGCAAACTTTTAAAGTGTTTTAACATGGGAGGAGGTAATACAATTTCTGAACTGATGATGGTATACAGAATAGCTAAATAATAAAGGGAGACCAGGTTCAAGCAGGGGAATTATGAAACAAAAACTAACTGGGTTGGATTGGGATTTGGTTGGGTTGGGTTGGGATGGGATGGATTGGGCTAGACTGGGATATGGGTTGGGTTGAGAATAAAAATTAAAAAAAGAAGTCTTTCCTTTAACTAATTGGACTTTTGAATAATGGTATACAGTTACAGTATTAGGAGCTGTGCGACTAAGCTTCCCTTGATATTTGTTTAGTCTGTTTTCATCTCTAATCTGGATGGTATACAACACTCTACAATCAATCAGGCATACAGATAGTACATTACATACACTGATATCAATACGTACCATCCATGAGTTAGTGTACGGTATATGAGAATCACTGGTCAGAATGTACGGTACTGACTCAGAAGGAAAAAAAAGTACTCAAAATATATAGTGCAACACTTTTAAAGTTTACAAAGATATGAACAATGTACAGTATTGGGAAGCAATGAAAGAAGACAGTATTTTCTTTCATTAAGGCATTGTTTCACTCGATCGCTTCACTTCAAACGCATTGCTTCTTCATCATGTCTGCCATCTTGCACTGATTGTATCGGCATTTGTTATTGTCTTTGAATATCACTTACATTCTTCATTCTACACTGAAAAAAGTCTACACATCTGAGCTTAAGTGTTCCGGTTGTTCCTCGAGCGACCATTAAGTCACTTTACTATATATATATAAATAAGATTGTACTTAAACCTATTTTGTCTTTTTTTTTTATTTGGTTCATCGTTGAAACACGTGACTCTGTCGTCCAGGGGTGTGGCCAAGACCGAGAGCACGAACGAGATCTATTTGAAATTTTAACTTTTATGGATCACATTAACATTAGCTTCCCCCGAAAAGTCACCCACGCTATCTTAACCACCCCGAAACTATCATCAGGCGATTCATAAAGGCCGAAACTATGGATGGTCTCGGTGACGATCCCGACTACACCACTGCTATTTTCCCTCCGTGCTCCCCTTCAGGTAACGGCAAGGGATCGGCATGAAGAATATACAGTACTATGGTGTACATTGAGATTAATCACTAGAATATGTGTGTCACTTTTTTTTTTAAACAGAGGGTCTGAGATGTGGTACTGTAACACTTCTAAGATTATTAGTACAGTATATGGGTTTGTCTGGAACTAAAAATATTTACAAAAAGTATTAAACTCTAAAAGGAATTGAAGGATGATATTCACATAAATTTGATTCCATAACAGACTGTAGGATATTTTCAACATGTTCTGACCTGAACTACTGATGAGATTATGAAGAGAAAACAAAAACTAACAATAATCCTATGGCACAAATATGTAAATGGAATAACACAATTACCACATATGCTAGACACATTACATTATCTTTGAAAAATTAAATAAGATTCTGTAAACACATTCTGATATTATGACATAAAAGTATTAGTAGTCACTAGTAATGTAAAACTTTGATTCAAATTTAAGAAAGTAGAAAACCAATGACCAGAATTTTGACATTTACTCACCATCTTCCATTAATGTTCCTCAACTGTATAAACTCTACAAAATGTGTTCTCTTCTACATGCTCTGGCAAGTCACGAAATTTACATGTCCTTATATAATATACATCTCTTTCACTATAAATTAATCACAAGCTGCTTATCATATAGTTTATATATATATATATATATATATATATATATACTGTATATATATGTATATATATATATATATATATATATATATATATATATATATATATATATATATATATATATATATATATATATATATATATATATATATACAGTATATATATATATATATATATATATATATATATATATATATATATATATATATATATATATATATATATATATATATATAAACCCCATTACCCGGGGTCCACACACCAGAAAATATCAGGCCATCAGTATTTTCCTGAATCGGTGTTTTTTTTTTTTTAATTCTTTCACCTGAAGCTCAAGTTCTGTCATGGGTAAAGGTGCTGAGGCTCGCCAAACTTCATAAAGAGTAGATAATATGTACAGTACTTATAATGTATATACAATACTTCAATACTGTACTGAACATTACAAAGTGAATATTGAAACAGTCAGGTGGTGTGTCGGAATATGGTTGTATTTCCTTACTCTTTACCACTGTTTGTATACCCACACTGTCTAGCTACACTGAAAATTATATACCTGTACTGCCTATAGGTATATTGAACTGTATACCTACATTGTCTATATACATGTGGAACCAACTGTAAACTTTTATGATGATTTTACTAAACATCTGTCTATCTATCATGGTAATTACATCTCTGTGCTAAGTAGTGGAATAATGTTTTTGTCTTTCATATTTTTAATCCATATAAACTGTAGTTCTCCATTCCACTGATGTGTGTCTATAACATATGCACAGCACTTCCATTAATACACTGAGGGAGGAGGGACATGTGGTGGCTAGTAGGATAATTATCATCACGGTGTCTGCCATCTTTCCTCTGCCTCCCTGACCAGCACCCAGGACCTGATGGCTGGGTGGTAGCAGATGAACTATTAGAGGTTCTACAGAGGAATTGTGTTTAAGGTAAAGTGTTCATTTTTCCATACCTATACAGATACTCTATATATAAGGTACTGTACCGCAGAAAAATGTATACGCACTGCCTTACAGATTTTTGTGGAGATTGCATGAATACTTGTATGGCAAAGGTAATGTTGTCCTCATTGTTGATGAGCGAGGTATCCCTGAGGACACTCTTATTGTTGAAATACAAACATTCATGTGACCTCCACAAAATCTGTAAGGCAGTGTATATAAATCTTCCTGAGACACCTTATACAGGTACAGTATTGTAGTTTTACAGTAGTTTACAATAAGGGACGGGCTGTTGTCCGGAAAAATTATCTTAAATTAATGAAAATATTCAAAGCGGAAAATTGAAGATAATGAATAACTGACAACCACATTCCGAACCATCTATTTTGTCCATATATCATAAACACAAGATTATTAACATTTATCCTAGTTCAAATGATAACAACCCTTTTATGTATAATGTATGTCCAGTACAGTATTACCTTACAGTACTTACTATACAAATTACTGTACGTATATACATAATGTATTATCTAGGTAGCTTGAGTTACATAAGGAGTGTCATGTTCAGGAGTGATGATAGATTGAGTGAAAACAATGTACAGTACAATATATGATTTCAGAATCTTAATACACATGGCTTTATCACTCACGTCAATATATTACTGTTAGGTTTGCCGTGTGATTGGTTCGCTATTAGTATCAGTGAAGGTGGTATGGTAGTCATATTTGGTTGATACATTGTCACAGATGTTACAGTGGACCATCTGGTTAGCTACTCTGTGTATACATTCTGGTTTGACCATGTTGGATAATAGGGAGTGCACTGTATGAAAGCTTCCTATGATAACTGAGTATATAATTTCTCTTTACGCATAATGAATGGCATTTCTGTCAGGACTCCCAATAACAAGTAAGAGTCAAGAGTTAATGGCAGAGAGCAGCTAAATAAAGAAGCCTCCTTCACAGAAGCCAAAAATAACTCTGTACAGTTTATAATTTGGCTTTATAATTGTGAGCCAACCTTAAGCTTCCAGAGTCTGGTCATTACTGTGGCCTGTTTCATCTTCTGCATTGCTGGAAGACCTGGCTGTCTCCTCTTCCTCTGACGTTTTCTTGATCATGTGGTTCAGTCGTGCCAGGAGAAACTGCTTGTCGTGACCCTCCAAAATCAACTGATTCTTCAGTAATCCTACCATGTGTTTGTTTGCTGCAGCTACAGCATAGTAATAATACCAGGCCAGGATGAGTATAATAATTGCTGGTACAGCAAAACCTGCTGTACCTATGAAGAACAGTACAGCCTGTAGCCAATTTGGAGATTCTGTAAATGGAACCAGTCATGTATATAAGATAATAACAAGTATAGATTAGTCCTACTTAAATCTATAAGTTTACTACTACTAATGCTACTAACACTTTATACAGTATACTGTAGAAGTAGGCAAGAGAGCACCCTCCACCACTCAAATCATACCAACATGGACAGAGATGCATCAAATGTAAAGAAAAAAATAAGTTATATAATACAGTACTTCTATTATCAAATCTATTCTACAGTAAACAAAAGGTCAAACTTATTTTTACTCAAATTCCTGCATGATAGACACTGGTTTTAGACAATCCAGGAATGTTAACTCCAGTAGTGACATATTACCAATCACTTCAAAAATCTACAAAGGTCAGAAATCTCAACCCCTCGAGGTCTTTTGACTCAAATAGAATCACTTACAATTTAACTCCCTCGCAATCTTTCTATACAGATTGCATCGGTAACAGGAACAGTTTTTCCATTTTAGAAAATATTGGGTAGGGCGATTCAGACCCAAATTGCAACCTTAGAGAGGCATCTGCCAGCCCACAAGGCTAGTTTTCTCCTTCATGTCAAGTCGTGACTAAACAGTATTAGAGTGAGATATGGTATGACAAGATGTCTTGTACTCTATTGCATCAAATTATAATGTTCTGGAACATTTTAGAGCCCATGTGAAGTGTAATTTTTAAAATGTATCTGTACCTGCAGGCCAGGAATCATAGAGGGCAAATTAACATACAGTATATATACTTGGTGACCATCTTTCTGTAATCATAATGGCACAAAAGACACAAAACTCATAAAGGAAATGTAATTCCTCCGACTTACCTGATATGACGCCAACCATTTCGCTCCAGATGGTAGTCAAGCCCCGAAATGGACCACAAGCAACCGAGGGTTTGATCTCAGCAATGGAGTAACCAACGGGTACAATCGTGACGATGAAGGAGACGAGGAGGATGCTGATGAAGAGGGAGTTGGAGCGGGACGTACGGTACAGCTGGGATGACTGACTGCTGTTCACTGTGCAGTCAAAGTATTTGATGTAGAACACACAGACTGAAAAGAAAATTGAATTGTACGAAAAACTGCAGGATATAATGCATTACCAATAGGAAGAAAATTATAAAGAATTCTTAGAAGTCAATATATGAGAATAAGAGGCAATGTTTATCTTTAAGTATTAACATTTGTTTATTGCAGTAAGAATTATAGCAAACCATTCCACACATCCATGAAGTAAGTTGAGTATAAGTATTACAACACAACAGTAATTTGGAGCTATGATCCCAATACCTTTCTACTAAGTGTACAGTTAACAGGTGAAGCATTGGGCCTGTACCTACAAGCATACAGGCAGGAAAAACACACACAGGCCACGTACTTAGTTTGAAGACGGTTACAGCTGGAAGTAGTGGGGAGTAGAACATACCGAGCCAACACAGTGTCTGGCCGTAAACAATATCCAGCACGTGCTTTGGGATGATAAACTCTATGTCTCCTATGGCTGCCCCGATACGGTTCCTCCGCATGAGCTTGTGGCCGATACACTTACGCGGGAGGTTGACCAGGAAGGTTGATATGAACATAATGATTAAATCCAAGATTGTCAATTTGTACAACTGCTGGCCCACATAAGTCTCCCAACACTTAGGCTGATCACATTTTTCACTGCAAAGGTAAAAGTGTGAGTCTTAGTGAGGAAAGTCTTTCTCTGTTTACTATACCTGTACCTGTCTTAACTACAAACATTATCACACACACCACACCACATACCCACGCCACACACACACACAACACACCACACCACACACCCACACACACAACACAACACACACAACACACCACAACACACCACAACACAACACACCACACACACCACACATACACACACACACACACACCACACCACCACACACACACACAACACACCACACCACACACCCACACACACAACACAACACACACAACACACCACAACACACCACAACACAACACACCACACACACCACACATACACACACATTATTCTATCTCTGTAAACAACGTCATCAGCTGCATCTAATAACTTGTCTCCACTTTCCTATTACATTAGGTTAAGCTTGACTGAATTTAGTTAGGTAGCTTTTCATGGTAATTACTTTAATATAAACTATCTCAATCTGCAATACATAATTATCAAGTTTGTGCAGCATTTATCTAACTTTCTGTTCATTAAATTTGTGTCATTTCTGCCTAAAGGGGACGGAACAAGACAACACATACGATATACAACCGCCACTGTAATCTTCGGGACACTTGCTGATGCCTTTATAGATGGAGAAGAGGAGGACGACAAGTGAGGCCAGCCGTAGGAACACGGTGCGGATGAGTGTCAGCACCAGGATGAAGTTGGGTGTATAATGCTCCACTTCGACAAGAATCCTGAAAATGTTGGAACTTTCTCTTATCACTTCATGAGTGATAATGCTAATAAAGATTTACTGTCAAGTACATGTACCCGGTATCATCAAAAAGTTTAGTGAGAGTGAGGTTAACTTCTTTACCGAGTGAGAGTTAGTGCATAGGCTTTAAGTCAGGCCCATAATGTCACAACACTGTGTCATCTACAGGAGCGGTACCTGCACTTAATATGTGAATCCTTCATCCAATCAAAATGAATTTTATCTTAAACTAAACTAGAACTCAACAATGTTTTAATAAGTGTAATTTAATATTAAAAATCAATGAGGGTTAATGGGTATCACATCTGAGGACACACACTCGGTGCTCAAGATCAAGTCCACAGTCAGTCTACTTTGTCAAATCTTATGTAATCAAAATCCAGCCCACAACATTAATGGAAACTATGACTGAAGATTAGAATACAGTATTATATAATCCAAAGTATTCATTTTAATGTTTGGACAAATGCCTCCACAACCTCCAATGGTCACAGTGCAATACTATTTTTAAGTTCATCAAAAAACATAACAACACTGCTCTCAGAAATGTGTGACCCATCAAAAGGTGGTGGACACAACCTGGAACCTGACTGTATAATGTTTATCTTCTCTCCATGTTATATAACTCACCTGAGTATGAAAGGGATGATGATGTTGAGTGTGACAATGACTGAAGAAGGGAGGTATTCATATAAAAGGATCTTGAGTTCATCCCATTCATTCTGGAAACCAATAACTTGATATTTATATGTTATCAGTAATCTCTTTATAGAAGAAAATTTATTTACTAACTCTCGGTGCCAAATAACTGTTTAGATCTTGTAGTAAAGAATACTATTAACAGAGGTGTGGGAAAACATCAATACCTGACAATGGGTCCATTTGTTCCATCATGTCCTTTCAGGGAAGTGACTTGAAAGATGATTACAGTAGTGGGTTGTATTATTGTTGAATGTAAGACTTAACATCACTTATATTCCTAGAAAGATAACAGTTACCCAATTTCAAGAGAAGTGACTAACTGTAATAGACATTCAGGACAATGATGTATGGTTAAGGCAAACTAACAATTTGTAGGCACAGAGACTTACATTTTCAGTGAGGTTACTAAGGGTTGGTAGTAAAGTGGTACTGTGTGCATTTCTCACTACTGTATCCTAGGTTCAATCCCTGACTCAGGATAACTGCGAGAAGAGTGTTATCCAGTGTCATCCTACCACATATGTCAAGTTTTCTCCAGGTAATCCAGTTTCCTCATATACTAACACAGGTCAATAAAATTCATGAAAGTAACAAAGAACAGACCTACCTCCTGAATGGCTAATAAGCTAACTAGTGTTAAATGATATGTGACCACGAAACCTGGTTACTGTGACAAGTTGCATTAGTCTAGAACCAGAGTTGGTCATAAAAATCATTGCAACCGATAAAATACCTCCCCCCCCCCCAAAAAAAAAACAATTATAATACAGTAATTCTCATTGACAAGTCCTACTACCTACACCCTCTTATCAAAGGGGACATGACTTACCTCTGAATTGCCCTTCAAATCCTTCAGTTTTTCAAAGGCATGAGAGGTGCTATAGAAGATGGCAGCGATGGAAGCAGAGAGCAGGAACAGGACCATCAAATTGACAAACAGACGCACAAAGTACAGTCGACACCTGTGGTGAAGAGGTGGTCAGAGATGAGAGTACTGCACTGTTATCAATGCATTATTTTCTAAACATTATAACATGTACCTGCATACCACAAAGTACTTCATTTTCATTTATGGAATATCTATCTGTGCAAACAATTTATACCTGGACTAGCTTTTCTACATCTTAAACTTAATAAAAGGTTCTTATCCCAAGCCACAGGAGATATGGTTCCAGGTGACCCCCCATCCCCCCTCTCTTTCTTTCCCTTCCTATCTATCTTTTATCTCTCTCTCTCTCTCTCTCTCTCTGAGCTCTATATTATCTGTCTACTTCCCTTTTACATCTTTCTGTTTTGTTCTCTATCTCTCTTTCCTTTCTCTTCTCTCTTTCCTATCCATCTATTTCTATCTCCTTTTCTCTTTTTATTGTCTCTCTCTTACCTTTCTCTCTTAGTTCTCTGGTCCTTTTCTTCAATATATTTCTCAGTCTCTATGTGGTTACAAAGCTCGTTATATATCGCCTTCTTTTTTACAGTAGCTGCTTTGTTGTTCTCGATGCAGTAGTCCCAACCACCGAATATTAAGTTACAGTACTGGGAAAAAAACAAAACATTAGCCTCAACATCGTGAATTGATGTAGTATGTTCATTGTGGATTTTGTCTAACATTGTACCCCCCTCCCCACCACATGCTCAGGATATAGCTCCGGCTGGCTCTCTCACGCACACACACAAAATGATAATCTAAGCATACTGTACCTGGTAAAACTGTCCCTCTGACGACCTGAGACTCTCCGTCAACCCTCGAGCAGCCGCCCGAACCATCAGCACCAGACTAAGGACCAGCGTCACCACCACCACCAACAGGTACGCTAGAGGTAGATTATACCTCCAGCCCCCCGCTTGCTCCAGAACTAATGTGTGTCTCGGGTATGAACCGTAGAACAGATAGGACAGTTCCAGCTCTCCCGTTCCTTGCACACCGTCTTGAACCAACTGGATCACGTCGAGTCGGTTGGAATTTTGTTTATCTCTCAGAACTTCCATCCGATATTCTTCATAGCAGCAGTTGGTCTGATTATCATACTCTAAGGATGAATTACCAAAATCCAAGCTTTGACTATTTTCCATGGTGCATTCATCCTAGAGGAGCAAAATGGTACACTCATAAACATTTGACACACAAATTTTGTCGTTTATAGGAAAAGGTGATTCTAATTCATGAACACTATATAGATACCTGTACTCACACAGAATAACAAACACTGTTGGTTCACTGAAATGTTAATACACTTCCATTAAATGTTATCAAAACAAATATCAATATGGTTATTCTTTGATGGGTAAAAATAACCTATTTCAACTAAACCTAACACAACCTAATTCACCTTAACCTAACCTACCTCAACCAAACCAAACCAAAACCTTTAAAGAAAACTAATTGAACATGCAAATTCAAATTTATTTTTTTTAAGGGAAGTTAAGTGTTGCTATAGGTATCCCTGGGAGGGACTTACCTTGGGATGTGTAAAAATAATCTGTGGCACAAGTATGAAGACAGCTAACAATCCACAGGTGAAGAGGTTCAGGTACAGCAGCCACTTAATGAAGGTAAAAAACGCCACCAGGCCCGTGCCAAAATTTCCTTCGACGTAACGCAAACTCCAATGCCACAGCTCTATCTTGGAGATCATTTCTCGTAATCTATTCTTAGCCTGTGAGAAGAAACATTTGATTCTTAGGATCTATATTTCAATCATGCTTGAAATAGGAGATTTGTATAATTAATGAAATAAGCTTAAGAACCCAGGAACCTTCGTCATTAGTGGAGAGTTGAGGGTTTGATAGTCGTATGAATGGGATGAGATATACTGTATAAAATAATAATTCTTTAGAGGATAATAGGAAATAAGCCTAAAAATAAAATACTACTTTTCCATCCTTACCTGGGTTAAAAATTTTCGTCTGGAAAGCTTAAAGGCAGCCAGACCACGCGTTCGGAGAGTTGGAGCCGACTGAAGTTGTCGCTTGAGCTTTCGTTTTTCCTCCATGGGAACAGCATGAGCTCGGATTTGTTGAAGTTTCTCCCAAGTCTCCTCTTCGTCAACTCCTGCAATGACATGTTTTGTTTTATTATTATTATATGGTAAATCTATTTTTCTCCAAATTGTATTAAATTGTATCCTGTTTTTAGTAATAAACTTATTAAAAAATAAAAAACATAAAGTTCTGATGTCATGATTCGTTATTTGTTACCTAAAAGTGGAGATGACTAAATAACACAGATACACAGATCATAACTTCATATTCATGAACATACACGGAACCCATCTAAAGATAACTAACCTTGAGTAAGATCTGGGAGAACTTCAAGGTAGGTGTCTGAGCCTCTTCTGCTGGTATGTACAAGGGTTGCCGTTGTTGTTGTTGGTTGGCATCTTCGATTTCTCTGTGAGGCTCGACGGCGAACTGTTCCTCTCCCAAGGGAATTGACTGAAAATGAAAGATCTACTGTGAGGTGGAGAGACAGAGAGAGAGAGAGAGAGAGAAGTGGGAGGCATTGGCTATCCTATTTGAATACACAGATAAAGAGCTAAGGCCTATGAAAAGTAGACTAGCTTCAGGCTAAGGTGTTGGTAGAAACAGGGGTCATGCATGTACCTCTAAATACTGTGTCCTGGTTTCAATCCCTGGACTGGGACTGTTTTCCTGTAGGTACTAATACTGGACAATAAAGGTCTCTGGGTACTTCAAACACTCACCAGGTAATGAGAAATTGTGGCTGAGGTCTTGGCTATGTGGCTATAGAAATAAATCCTATACACTATGGTAGTTATATCCCTGGCAACACAACAGCTTAGGTCAAATGTCACTCAATACTATGCAAGAAGTTTGAATCGATAAGCCATTTTACTACACAAAGGTCCTCATAGCTTTAGTGGTGTCAAAAAACGAGCTTACATAACTACTGCATTTCATCCTATTTAGTTGTGAATGAGGAAAGATTGACATGTAACTCAAATTTTCTATTAATGAAAGATGTTAAGGGAACTCCAGGTTGGACTAGCCAGCCAGCCACTCACAGGTAATGACAATGCCTTCGTCTTCATCGCTGCTGCCCTCCTGCACCACCAGTTTAATCCTCCTCTCTGTTTTGGTCGTCATTTAGACACTTCCCGAGACAGTGCCAGATGCGCAAGTGGATATCAGTCCAAATCACGACCTTATCTAATATCACCGTTACCCTCAAAGTACTGTCAGGATGATGGTTTTTTTCCCGTTCTGACAGTCTGGAAGTATTTCCATGTCCACTAGAGAATAGTTATGGATTTCCTGGCTTGGTCACTGTTACAGCAAATTTCAACTGTTCAAAAGACTGTTCTACAATTTGAGTTTCATTACGTTCAACATTACCAGTCCATAATATTTCTAAAGCACAATTTATGTTATATTTACTGTAACTGTTCGATATACAGGTTACAGTAGATACAGATAATCAGTAAAATTGCCATACAAGTTTACAATTGGTTCAGCATGTAAATAGACAATGTAGATACAGTTCAATGTGTATACAGTTCAGCATGCACATAGCTATCACAGTTACAGAATACAATTTCCAACATACCTAGACAGTACAGGTACAGAATACTACAAACAATGGCAAACCATAAGGCAATTCAACTTAAGACAGCCAATGAAGCCATCAGATGCTTGCTTATTTCCAGTAGGGTCCTTTGTTGATACGGAACTGTCATTTAACGCGACCAATTAAAGGACACCACTGAAGTCTATCACTGTTGTATTATCAGTGTAAAGGTAAACTCGATCATATGAATATTAGACACCCTGGTTTATTTCACCTGAAGATTAGACACCCTGTTTTTTTTTAACCTGAAGCTTAGATCACCGTGCCTTATTTTACCCTTAGATCACACCCCAGTCTAGTGAAATAACCCATGGTGTCTAAATTTCAGGTGATCCAGATACGTGTACGGTACTGTACTTAAAGCCAATTAGGACACGAAAACAATATAGTGAACTAATTTGAATCTGAGGCATAAGAAAGCAAGTTAGGGAAATTTGACTCGCCTCTTCCACAGTCTACCCCCCCCCCCTCCATAAAAAAACCATTGCCACTATGAGAGAGAGAGAGAGACGACTTGGAATATTTTAATAATACGAATAAAAGTTGACTATATTACGTATACTTCAGAAGACACAAACAAACAAATTTACTCCAACTTCCAGAGATTTACAAAGATTAACTTGAATCACAACCAGTAGATTATACTTGGGATTTTTTTTGTTTTAAACTAAGATGACACACACACACACACACACACACACACACACACAATAGGAAATCTTTATTGATAGTAACATAAGTAGTAGAAGTACCACCATTCAAATACAGTCCTGTAATCTCAAACTGTAACCTAGATTTCACACCAGACCACCACCACATCAGTGACACCTACACTGTCCTTGATTACAGCTGGGAAATACGCAGCGACAAAAACAAGTACTATGTCATTATTATCATTACGTCGAAATTTAAAGTCTGGGTCAGAGGAGAATTTCCCACAACCTTCATGTATGCTGACAAGGCTTTTCTTACCCACTACACAACCAAATAACTACAACAACCACACCCGGAGGAAATCATGCATTAGGTTCTCCAAAAAACTTGCTTCCATTTGGGTAAAAAACATATATAAATTTATATAAACCCGCCACATCAAGTTTCTTTGCCAATATATCGGTAGATGTGATTTTGTTTTTGTCAGGAATAAAAACTGATATAATATTTTACAAGTTTACAGCGTTAGTCTAAAGTTATTTTATAATATTTTAATTTATTAACATTATAGATATTCTTTGAGTTAATTATCTAAATATCAGTATCTGTAATTCGTTATAACTGGGATTGAACGAAAAAAATTCGCTGATGTAACACAGAACACGATTAGCGAAGATGATTAAGCTAGTGGGGTTTACTCCTTTTGAATATTTCCGTGGAGGGATTTTGTCCCCATTCATATTTTGGTAGTGAGTTAATGTCTTACAGAAATAAACTGTAATAGAGGGATTTTCTTAAATGTACTTTGGTGGTGGCAAGACGAGAAGTGTAAGGATTTGGAGAACCAGTTACTTGCTGGCCTTGAGCTGTAACACGGCCACGGCCTTAGTGGTCACACACACACACACACACACACACACACACACACACACACACACACACACACACACACACACACGCGCGCGCTCGTTAGTCGCCTCACTAATAAACAAACGCACCATTAAGTTTTGTTCTTATTACCTAAAACTAACTAATTACAAAACTACTCAACAGACATATAAATAGTTACCGGGTATTGAATTAATGTAACAGCTTAAGTTTTTTGCTATCAGTAATACCACATTTAAAATACTTTCATAAATAAAAACTGCGACAAAATTACCTCTTGACAATAGCAATACAGTAAAAAACGATCTAGCAGTGTACTAACAACCTGCTGCCATGACAACTACGACAAAATTCGACCGTCAGTGAATTACTAACATCCAACGACGATTACTGTGACGTCACTTCCAAGGGAGCATCCGGCACCTGCGTAACAATCACTATCTCAACGCCATCATCCCAAGCCTGAACGAACAATACACGCTTATTCTGTCACACCTTTATGGAGACTAATAACGAAACAACAGTAAATTCCAACCATTGTAAATCATGTCCATGGTTAAAGTCGGTGAAGGACATTTGGAGGTTAAAATGTTGACTAAAAGAGAGAGAGAGAGAGAGAGAGAGAGAGAGAGAGAGAGAGAGAGAGAGAGAGAGCATGGTGTAAATATTGGTGTGTAATCGTTCATATTTCTAGGCTTCAACAAATGGACTCAACACAAAGCCTAAACACCCTATATCGTTTATATATAAAAATTCCTAAATATTTCAGCGAAGAATGACGAACAAAGATGACGTGGGTGAGTGAGTGGTCCAAATATGCAAGGGAGTGTGATGTACAGTACAGTATATGCGGGTTGGCTAGATCGCTGTCGGGAGAATATCAAGGGAACGAAACTTTAATATTGTAAAAATTAAATAGATTCGCTATTATCCTCAACGATTTGAAATATTCACCATTATCCATGATGATTTAACATCCACTCACTATCCACGTACAAAAAAATCAGATGGAATGGGAGATGTCACTTATCCGGGTAAATCCCAACTAGCGCATATCATCAGAAGGTATCATAAAGATCAGATTAAATTACACAGCAAAATGACTTGAATTTTGCAGATATCGTTTAAAATTATTAGGTTAAGAAAGTAACTTGTCTGAACGCCAATGAAAAGTTTAGCTACGAGACAAAATACCCCACCATGGTTCTTGAACAAAATACCCCCGAAATTTAAAGCATACTGTGCAAGTAGGGTTGGCGGTTCAATCTTCCTTCAGGCGTCGCGAGTGACAAATTCAACGGAGCGGAGGCAGCTCAAGATACGCTTCCTTGGCCATAACATCACTTCTACCCACTGATGACGTGTTCCGTTACCTACACGGGACTAAATACCACCCCAAAGAATAACGGAGAAGATTAAATTCTATTATCCCGTCAGATTGTGTGGGTTCTGCTCTAAAACAAAAGAGCTCCGTGGATACGAGCCAGCATCTTCAGTAGTATTGTTGTAGTTGAAAGCTTTTAATGTTTTAGCTAGACATATCCTTATGGTGATATTTCAGAGTAAGTTTTAGAATTTTGTGTGTGTGTGTGTGTGTGTGTGTGTGTGTGTGTCACTCGGCTCGTCACGCTCAACAGTACCCGTCTTCAATTTCCTACATTTATTTCTTCAATTTTCATTTTCTATTAATTTCTCGGATGGTCAGTAACTAGGAAATCACACACACACAGTAAAGGGGGCTGATGGGTGTTGGAGGAGCTGTCAGCAGAGGAGGGGTGGGCGTCAGCAGGTGGCCAGGTTAATTCTGACAAGTATAAGAGAGGGGAGAGGTCTTCAAGGCGTAACGCGCGAGCACACACACATCCTTGGTCCTAAGCTACCTATTGTATTCGAGCTTGACTCACCACGAATACCACACTACAAAGAACACCCACACACCACCCTCAATTATCCCATCGCGTGACTGCTCTCTCTGTGTGTGTGTGTGTGTGTGTTGGAACGATCACATCTGGGTGCTTATGAAGAGCTCCAGGGCATGTTTGTGACGATAGCGTTGACAACCAAATTCATGGACGTGAGTTAAGACAGTCCCTCAAGGAGCGAATACGTGTTTGGGATCACATGAGGATTCGTCTACCCAGTTTATTTCACCTAATTAAACACCTTAGCGTTACCTGTAGGGTGAGGTTAACTTTAGGGTGGATGAACTTAGGTGAAATAAACTAAGGGTGTCTAAACTTCAAGTGATCCGAGATGGTTAGGGTGATGTAAGCAAGACCTTGGCTAGCTGGAGGTGGGGAAGGAACCCGCTGCCGAAACCTGATACCCAGTCCTAACACATCCCTCTCTGACGATGATGAACCTCTCTATGCAAACTAACCCCCACCACACCACGAACCGCCACAAGATTGTCAAAACATGTGACGGAAAACCTTCACTCCTAGACACCACAACTATCGCCAGAGGTAGAGTCTCCCTCCTTCCCTCCCCCACCCCAGCCAGACAGCACCTGTAGCGTCGTGTTTATACATGATCAGTTGATGTCACTCGCCCGAAAGTAAACCAAAATAATGACCGCCATGTGTTACTCTCTCTCTCTCATTCACCCCTTCCACTACCCAAACACATTTCTTCATCATGCAGTTTATTCTCTCCTTTGACCTCCATCCCTGTAAAACACACACACACACACACACAGAGCTAGTGTGTAAGACCGTCTCCTGCTGGTGTGTGTGTTAGTGAGTAGGAGAATAGCGAGTGTCATTGAGTGAGTGAGTGAGTGAGTCATTGCAGGATGAGTGAGGTACATCCTATCGTTCATACGTCACCTGACACACTCAAACCTGACAGCCTCATACACACTCAAACCAAACACCCCCTCATACCTGACACCCTCACACACACAACCCTGACATCATCATCTTCATACCTGACACCTTCACACCTCACAATGTCCGTCCAAACACTAAGCACAGAGTATCCCACCCAACCATGTATTTAGAAGAGTCGAACACAAGTACAATTATATTCAGTTCGAAACCCTTACCGCTGAATAGGTTAAATTATACCCACTTAGCATTTCATGGACGCATTAAATATTGAAAAACACACACAAGACAAACACACACACAAGACAAACACACACGAGACAAACACACACGAGACAAACACACACGAGACAAACACACAACAGGATATTGTACTTTAGATGAGGCTGGGTTTATTGGACCAACAAATCGTGTTATTGTGTACTTGAGAACAGCTGATCTGATGGCCCCAGTACCCCTACCCCCCTCCCCTGACCACCCACCCACCCGCCTTCCCTCACACACACACACAAGAAAATAACTCACTGACGCTGATGACTCATTTTTTTCTCCTATTTAAAGTCCCATTAATATATCTACAAATAAAAAACAGCAAAATAGGTGATTGGAATATACACTCACAAGTATCAATTACATTACAATACTATTAATAACATCAATGACT